ACATCGTGAAACCCATAGGGATACCCCGCCGAGAGAAAGACAAAACATCACAGCAATAAGGCCGAACGAAAGTTTAGGAATAAGCTTTTTAAGACCCAATGCGATATCAATAAAACCACGGACATTTAAGGGCACAAGTAATGAGCGTCCGCTCACCTACCTAAAGAAAATGTCAAGTTACTTAAGGGCAACACAGGCCCAAGGCGAGGATTTGCGTTTCATTGTAGGCAATAGCTTAGATGGAACAGCGCAAGACTGGTGGCAGGTGTAGGAGGACAATATGAGTTCAGTCCAACAATTTGAGGAAAAATTCAAGGCCCGGTATTGGAATAGTGAAATCCAACAAGAAATAGGATTAAATGTGCATTATGGGAAATACGACCCATCCAAACAGAAAATATCGGCGGTTGAATATGCGTCAAAAATATTCAACGAGGCCAATGACTTAGAACCACCTCTCCCCTCAGCTAAAATTATTAGTAAACTTGCGGATCACTTTTCCAAGACATTAAGTTTTATTATCCACGGAAAACAGATTGACGATATAAACGCGTTCACTGAGCTACTCCAAAAATACGAAAGTCCGTCCCGACATGAACTGGAAAGAGATACTAGAAGCGAACCAGCATCAAAAAGGGAAAGAACGAACTCGGGAGCAGCAGCCGCATCTCCAACCACACCTCCGCGGAACAGTCAGCCGCCACTGAGACAACCTCACCAGCAGTCAACTCCGAATAACGGTCCTCGACCAAATAACCAACAACAAGGACGGAATAATAATTACAACCGAGCAGGCTATCACCAAGCGAACACCATCCAAACGGAAGGAACGCACGGAAACCAGCGATCTCCGCAACGGACTGAACCCCGTGAAACGGATCTAGGGGAGGAGTCCACCGGAGAGAGCCACTGCCCGAAGCCAACAGCCTCGGAAAACTCAAAAACGTTGTGGCCACTAAGGTGCCCCGCACTAGCCAGGGACACCAAGGCGCGTCCACAACGTGTATGACGAAACTGGAAAAGAACTCACCGGACATGAATGAGATAAACACAATTAACTTTGCTTGGCTAGAACCCGAACACATCTTGACGTGCAACAATATCTTCGAAGAGGAAGAAGAAGCACAAGGAGACGGCCGTCCACTGCAATGCCCAGAAATCGACGTCGTCATCCAAGGAATCAAGACGAAAGCACTTATAGACACTGGAAGTCAAGTCACTGCTCTCTCTGAATCTTTTGTGAATCAGTACATAAAGAATTTCAGACATTGTCATACACTTCCTATAGTAGGTATGTACGTCACAAATGCGACAACCCATAAGTCAGTGTGAATTAAGAAACAAATCCTGGCCAAGACAGAAATAGCAGGAGAAGGGTTAAACACCATATTTATGGTAATCCCTAAATTAATAAGGACCTGCATACTCGGAATAGACTTCCTACGGACACACCAGGGGAAGATCGACCTCCGAGAAAACAAAATCTACCTGAGCAACAAGGACGAACAACTTTCGATCTCCTTGGCTCAGCCGATGGAACAACCCAGCACGAAGGACTCAATTCCAGAATGCAACCCCATCAACAAGGAAGAACCAGAAAGAGAAGACAGCATTACCATGCAAGAAGTCGAGGAGAAACTTGCCGGCTGCACGAAACTTAGCTCGTATCAATTAGACTATTTCAAGAAGACCATATGGAAATATCGAGGTGTTTTCAATAAGCGACCAG